CCCCCCCCCAACCACAACCCCCCAAAAAAAAAAAAAAAACCCAAACCCAAAAAACCTACCCAAAGTCCCATAAGACACAAAAAAGCAAACAAAAAAGCCAAAAAACCCCAAACCAAACGCAAACAAAATCCACCCAAAAGCAAAAGGAAACCCCAAAAAACAAGCCCCCTCAAAAGCACCCATATAATTTAAAATATTGATCCTTCCCAATTCAGTATGCCATTCTAATAACTCATTGTTCCTCTTCAAAATACCAAGAGAAAGATTTTCATTCTCTCATAAAAACATAGATCCTGAATACAGTAAGCTTCCATTGTATCCTAGGGTAGGTAAGCAACTTGCTTACACCAGACTTAAGTCAAAACTATTCTTATTTTCATCATTTCCAAGTTTTAATGACCTAGACAAGCAGAGAAATCAGATTTTCATCAATTTTAATTTGAAATATCAGCATGAGTAATATTTATGCAATGCATCGTGGATGAGCAAGCTAGCAAAGAAAATGCTGTCCAGTAAGGATGTGAAATCAGGATTTAGAGCTATATACTATGCTGACTGGTTTACAGTCTGTCATTAAGGACACGAGTATATGGAGAAAAAGGACAGGTGCTTCCCCACAGCTGATGAGTAATGAGTTCATGGAAATAAACAGGAAAGTATCAACTGCTGGCACTTTTTTCCCTGAAATTCTAAACCAGATTTTAGAAGTAAAGCAAAGCATGCTAGCTAGATGAAAATTTTAATATTAATGTATTTCAGACTTAAATATTTATTCTCTTTACACTATCTCCTGCATTATTCTAGCCTACTTAGATTACTGAAGTACACTTATCATCATGGTTTCTGAGCACTGTGCAGTAATGTTGTAAATGACATGGCTAGCACCTATCCTGTAGTTTCTCCTCCTTCTCTCCCTCTTGCCTAGAAGGAAACTCCATATTGATTTTACATGATGATGTGTCATGCATTTTTATAACTCTGCCTCAAGCATGCATGGTCAACTTTGAGGAAGTATTAAGCAAATTTCACTATTAACTGAAAAAAGGTTCACTACAATAAAGTTTCTCTCAACTTTTTCTTGACTCACACCTTCTTCTATGATAGAAACTGTAACCATTTAAGCAGCAGTTGGGGAACGACAGAAAAAGCACACGTGCCCATCAGTCTAAACCAAGAACTGCCTCCAGGCAGACGCTAGCTTAAATTGCATCCACAGAAACATTATGTTGCGAGTTAGGTATAAATAATATTCTTCCAAAATGGATAAACAGTAACTTGAAGATACTTCTAGTTTATGACAACAGCTCAAGTCAAAAATTAACTATATCAGGGGTTGACTCTGTATATTCAGTGTTTCAGACTTAACATCATTTTTGAGAGATATGTATTTGCTTCAGTTTGGATTGTTTTCAATGCTTTTTCTTTTTCTCCTCATGAGGTGAAAAGTCCAGTGCATTAATTCAGGAATTCACACACTGTAAAAGTATTAATTTCATTCTCCCCAGAACTTTCATAAAAGAAGACAGAAATAAGCTGCTTTCAACCCAATTATTATGAATAATAAATTGAGGGGAAAAAAGTAAGACTACTAAAAAAAAAAAAAAAAAATTGTTTTCCACAACCTCTTGGTCAAATGTTTCCTAGACAAATTGGTCTCTTTTTCAAAAAGAAAAGCCACTAACCCCACACTTGCCATACATTTTATGGAAAAACAAGGCTGAAGCAAATTAATATTTAGCAAATACCACAATTTCTAGAAAACACAGATGAAGTAAGAGAAAATTCCAAACAAACAACCTCCAAGAGTAGACTACAAAATATGAAGCATTTAAAACCAGCTTGCAAGTGACACAGGTAATCCTACAGTAACAATCTCTCTCAGGAAGAAGTCTGGCAAGCTAGTATTAATGAAGATGCTGAAATCAGGAGAGCTCCTTCATCACAACCAGTTCTGTTTGTAGTATAGTTATATCCTAAGTAGGCTTACAATAATTGCTTAGGTAATTGTGAGTAACACTAACAGTGTTCCCATAAATTTCCATGTACTTGAATTCCATAACCTTAGTGGTAGTCCAAGGAGGAATTATTATCAGTTAAAAATAAGACCTATTTAGTAATAAAGGCAAAAAATACTTACTGAAAGAAATGTTTCAATGTTATCATGAACAAATGACGCAACATCTTGCCAGTCCAGAATATCACCAAGCCAGCTGCTTTGACGGTTTATGTGCCATTTGTGTCCCTTGTGTCTTCCAGAATGTGTTACATTCTTAAAAAGAGAGACAAAGATGTAAAGAAACCAGACATTTGAATAACTTACAGAAATGAGAAAGCCCAAGACTAGCGTTTTCTTAATAAGGAACAGATCCAACATGCATCCAAATACTTAGAGCTGCTTTAATTGTGGCATCCTCAAAAATACCTGGAAGTACGGAGTACTCTGTTCACTGGAAAAATTAAAATCTGACAGAAAACCGTTGTTAATATCCCATATAATTAACAGTTCTGTATACTGTACTGATTCACCTCAGTTAAACATTAGCTTTACTGCCTAACTGATACAATGGTATCTATCTTGCTCTTTATGAAAGCACAGAAGAAAGAGGTAATGATTTCAGTTACTGCCTACATAATTTACTGTTTGCAACATACAACTTTTCCCAGTACAATCCACAAAGGAAAATACAAACAGAAGCCAAAACAACTAGTTTTCTCACAATTAGTGTCTACTTCTCCACTAGCCATGTTCAGTCATGCAAAAGCTAAAAGCTAAACTGGAAGCATGGAGGATTTCTTCTGACTACACAGCTTTGTAACTGCAACACAGCAAGACAATGGGAAATGGCCATAACCACAACTGCTAATTCCTTAAGTGGCTTCACCCTAATTATGAAGTTGCCTATTGTCCAACTGAATCACACCTGATCACCATCTAGCATGAGACTATTTGACTCAGTCTGGGACTGTGACAAGTGTTTCAGAGAAGGATGCCAAAATTCTACTGTAAGCAAGTCTAAGCAAACCCATTGACTACAACAGATCTCATCCTAATCTTTAATAGCAAGAGACTTCTCAAGTTCTCAACTCTGATATTTATATAAGCGTCCCACTACTTCCATTAGAATTTTCCAAAAACTTTTAACCTTACCAGCCTGCATTCAAAATGACAGTATCTTTTTTGGCATACATGGCAAGTAGTATTCCAAGTGAAGTCCCTACACTGATTTATCTAAGAACATTACATTTTCTGCTTATTACCAATTCTCCCTAGATGCATTGTTACACTTTATGATGCAGAATTAGCAATGCTCTTTAACAATCCACAGCAACACAGAGATCCTTCTTCTGAGCTGGCAGTTTATTTAGAGCAGAAACATATGAGTAGTCAAAAATCTCCCTCCAATAGGCCTTTTGTATTTGTAAACTGTATCAAGAATCTATTTTCTGTTAATCTAGTTCTATTTTCAAAGACAGCTCTCACTGTTAACTAGCAGAATTAGGTATCATTTGCAAATTTTGTAACACTGTTATTCGTACACATTTCAAGTTCATTGTTACCCAGCAACTATACTGTTGTAGCACCTAAGGCCTCCGGTATTGATAAATAAGGGATTCAAAGAAATTGTCAGCTGGTTCCTCTTCAGCAAATTCACTAGATCTTAAAAACAAAACAAAATCCCATACCTGAATGGACTAGGAAGAGGAGATTCTTGTCATAGAATCATTAAGGTTGGAAAAGACCTCTAAGATCATCGAGTCCAACCGTCAACCCAACACCACCAGGCCCACTAAACCATGTCCCTAAGCGCCACATCTACACGTCTTCTAAATACCTCCAGGGATGGTGACTCAACCACTTCCCTGGGCAGCCCGTTCCAATGTTTAACCATTCTTTCAGTAAAGAAAATTTTTTTTGTCCTTGAAAAAGACACCTTGATTGCAGAGTTATGCTATCATCTTCCAAGTGGTTTATTATTCTGTTACTATTTTACTTCACTGGGTACATAGACGCAATGGCAACTGATCTATCACAACATCTCTAGAACCTTTTCAAATATACACCATTTGCTACCTACTGATCTTCTCAGAAAGTAGCAGTTAATGATTGAATCCACGCTTCATCAGCAATTATTCCTCAGTTCTACAGCTTTCATGGAAAAGTATCACCTGAGCCTGGGTTCTTCAGTCACGTACAGACTAGAGCAACACTATGCAAGCCTCAAAATGAAGTGTGTGCTTCACTGTACTTGAATTATTGGGCTCATACAACTGAAATAGCGGGGAACCTGAAAGCTGTACTGAGAGAGTTAGATATGGTACAGATGTCCTCCACACTGCACTATCACCTAGTTTACCAGTTTTCAGATACACTGAAGAACCAGGCAAGGCTACTGTAATATTACAGAAGGAAATAGCCAGGTAGAAAGCACTCAGATGAAATACGTATGTGGATATGGAGTGCAATAGAAGGGGCAAGATTAGAAATAGACTCTGGAGAAGTTACCTGCAGCACACAGATAATCGGTTGCAGCCCAGCAGGCCAATGGTAACATAGGGTGTCTAATATGCAAACAGCAGCCAGGGGAACAGACTTCAGGATTGTAGGCAGTGAGCATCAGTGCATTCCTGAAGCTCTTTCTGCCATTTTGATTGCTAGGAAAGCTGTTTCTTACCCTACCAGAAGAGCATCTACAAAAAAGAAGCCTCATAGTATTCCCTCAGATAAGAGCTGCAGGAAAGAAATCGCATAATGCAACACACACAGACACAACCTGTGCTGCATACTGCAGCAACAAAAGTACTCCTACAGCACATGTAGTGACACAGAGCCCTACTGAACAACACAGGGCTACAGACCATCTGACACACAGGTTGTATTAGTAAAAGCTAACATAAATAGGTTTATCAGTGTAACTGTATGAAAAGTAGGCACTTTTCTTGGTCAAGCATTTAACACTGAGTACTCCCAAGTGCTTAAGGCCAGCAAAATCTATTGTAGATACAGCTTTAGTTTCTCCTCAGCGGTCCCATATTCCTCAACAGCGTCATGGTATCTCTCCACATGCTTTTCTACAGCATTACCTTGTCAGAAAAAGAAACTGATTCTTTCCCCTTCTATTTTGACTACTGTACTGAAACTCTTACTTCTTTTAATACAGAGATCGTCTTGGAACTTTAGAGGTACTTTAAAAGCGACTGTATAAAGAAAAGTGTTCATATACTACAATTACAATTATTTAAATATACAGAAGTATTTCAGGGATATGACTTCCGGATTTTGATAGTTCCATTGCACCATGGCCAATGAATTGCTTTTTCCTTTAAAAGGCAAACAGCACTGGCAGCATGAAAATGATTTAACGCTTATGAACTTTTCAAGATTCAGTGTGCAGAACCCATTATAGGAATGCTACAGTTGGGAAAAATGCATTGTAAGAAACTTAGTGAAAGGTCATTTCTTTCTCAAAATTTCAAATTAATGAAAGTTATAAAAATGATGCAGAATACCAGTTTCCTTTTCCTAACCCCTCAAGATCACAAAAATTCAACAGAAAGCTCTAAACTATGAAATACTAAATATAAAAAGTGAGCAAAGCATAAATTAAATGGCATACATAAAAACACATAACTACTTAAGTGAAGGACATAGCTCTGGCTGTACTCAATCTGTGACTGTAGAACAATCTATCTTACACACTTGAAATTTTTACCAACTCTTTATTATTATGACCTTAGCATTCCAACTTTTTGCTAATCTTTTTCTCAGAAATGCATATTTAGCATAATTATCGCAAAGCACTAAGTGATAATTTATATAAATACCATTTAAATAAGTTACCCACCTTCACAAACCAAGAGTGATAAAGCCTGTCCCAGAGCTCTAGCACTTGTTTTTCAATCACAGCGGTGTTATTCACTTTTTCTCCTAAAATCTTATTTAGCTAAAACATACAGAAATCTTTTATTATACAGGACAGAATGAAGCTGGCATCTACTGACGAACTCCAAGCTAGATGAATCACCCAAGATTGTCAGTAAAGGCATGGCTCAAACCCAAATGATTAGAAAAGCTGAGTATCAGTACGGAATACACACTTCAGACAACATGGTTCACAATGTGAAGAGTTTGTCTGTAAAAAAACCCCCAAAACATTCTGCTGCACTAAGTTGAGGTCTTCTTTCTGCACTGAAAAACCAATGCTGTCTCTAAAACACTTAATCCAAAATCCTTGATCATCTTTAGAGTAAATACTTCAAATAATTTGAGACGTGTGATAGATATCAAAATGTATAAATAAGAATCCTGGCAAATTCTCCTGAAGAAAGTTAACTTAAATAAATGATAATTTTTTTCTAAAAAAATCCATTCTACTACTACACCCAACCCACATAGAAATTAGAATACTGGTGGTGGTGGTGGTGTGGAAGTCTACATTGTCTACAATTGGACAGCTAAAGCTAGATGAAAAAAATTACTCATCTTTATTTGATGCATTTTCACTGGCAATCTTATTAAAATGATGGCAGATTTTTCAGCTTTTAAAAATAAATATTCCTCTGAGCAGAAAAGACTACTGAAATCACTCCCACCCTTCCTTCAACTCACAAACTAGAGACTGGAAAGAAGAGATCTGTCAGCAAAATGGTGAACCACGCAGAATAGAACCACTGACAAAAATCTTTTTCTTTCTTTTTACTTTTATGAAATACAAGAAATGAAAACATTAAAAAAGGTGGGGGAGCTCACTTTACCTTATGTGTAATCCATTCTCGGCCATACTGGTATACGTTATTAGCTGCTGAATTGAGTGCCTTCTGAATAACCTGGGCTTCTGGGAGCCAGCTAGGTTTTTTTAAAGAAGGAAAACAAAGTTAACTGCTACGTATTTTACCCATTTCATTACACCCAAAACACATTACAAATTAACATTTTAAAACAACAACGAACAGCTAAGGTTAAATACATATAAACTTACTACAACTAGAGTATTTCCTTCTACATATCAAGGAACAGACTTTCTCATAAGCAAAGCACAATTAAATCTAGAGCACGTCATTGCATTTGGAATTCTCTAATGTTCCTGAAACCTTAGTTAAATTGGTATCTCAGCTTTTTCAAGAGATCTGCTCTTCAATCTGTATGCATGCTATTCACACTACATTCTTCGAGATTTTCCTAGTGTTCTAGTTTTCTGAAAATACTATATGAAGCAGTCTCGTCTAGCCGCAAAGACAACCTTCTGAATTACAAGCTGAGTGTAAACTGCTAATGTAGTTTCCCTGAAAAAGCAACCACCAAATGAAGCAACAGGTTTGGGCACCAGTTATTTCTAAGCCCCCACCAAACTATTTGCTCATCAATTTCTTCAGGGATTCATGTCACTTTCAAGCAATGAACCTACTGAGTTGCCAGCATTTCAACACTTGTGAATACAGGGCACACATTCTCTGCTTTGACTTTCTTTCTACATCTTGATTCAATGGCACACGTTGGAGCCCTTCCAAAACAAGAAAGCATTCAGGAAATAAAACTGCTGCATTTGTTCACCTGACTGAAGATCAACATGGAAGCTTTTCTGCCTGTATAACCCTTCTGAAGGGTTCTGCATTGGAATTCCAAGACATTTCAGTCGCTCACCTCTAAATGTAATAAGAGCGTCAAGCTCTGAAAGCTGGTGAAGCTTGATGGATTTGGCAAGAGATATACTTACTTCTAATGAATTAAAAGATAGTGTTTTGGATGCTTCAAATTTGGATGCAAACACTGGAAATAAAAATTTTAGCTAAAATTCTGCTAATTACTCAACTAGTACTCCAGTATTTTCATTGTGTGAATAAGCTTCTGACAGTCAAATTTCCATTTTCATTAGTCCTACTTATTTCCATCTTATGGCAAAATGGAAAGGCCAAACAACACAAGAGATGCCATGAAGGAATAAACAAACACATTTTTTAAGTGCCTTCTGTTCTCTTGATTGTGACTAAGTATTGCTAAAGCACATATTACTATAGCGTTTATTAACTATATCGTTTTAGTTCTGTTTTTGAAAATTTCTCTCACTCTTATAATACAGCATGCACTTTCTTTCAATCCTGTTCAACAATCATCGCTTTTGTTTAGAAAGTGCCCTTGAAAAAAGTCAACCATTCTCGTCCAGGAGACAATTCTTTTTTCCTGGTAAGTGCCCGGACTCACTGGGAGTGAGTGCATGAAACGAAAGCAAACTGGAACATCACCCCCCTTCAAAATCACTCTTCAGTCTTACCTACTCCCCCCCTCTGCTGTTCATGCAATCACCTTCTCTGCTCACCAGTGTGCCCTTGTTTTTCTCTGTATGCATTTCTCTCAAAATCTTCTCTCTCCCTTAATATTTGCCTTAGTGTTTGCTTTAATCATTACACAGACAGTATCTTATAAATCTCCCACTGCATACACTATACACATCTACTCTTAATAGGAACAGCCCTTCCCAACTGATTCATACCAAACTCTCCTCAGCCACCATTCTTTCCACCCTCTAACTCTTCTTCAGTTCACTCCAAAAACCTTTTCTTCAACTCCTATTCCCTCAAAGGCATCCTGCAGCCAGCTCTCCACATTGAAAAAATAATCCAGCTCTCATCTCACAACCTTCTACAGAGAGCATTCTTTGCCATTACTTTTCTTACGCAGATAAAAGGGAAAAGAATAGACCTCTTTATTCTCTGCACTATGCAGGTGTTTCTCCAAAACTGTAACTAGAGAAGTTTATACAGCTGTCCTTCTCCAAAGTCCAACCAGTCCTCAAATGAGATACCACATTGACAGTCCTCCAGAGTAATGCATAAACACTAATGCTGCCTGAGAGTTTAGCTTCTACATCTGCCTGCAACAGTCATTCCCATTTCTGTTCACCTAGGGGATTTTTTAAAATTAAAAACTATGCATAAGAGCACCTGGAAGCTTGTTCATCCACCCTATACTATTTGCTTAACTTCAGCATTCTTACTTTGCCCATTCTGGGTGACTGGCTACTGTCTCATTGATCAAGCTGCTTGTGACTTGAATCATGTGAACACTCTCTTGATGTACCTAAATTAAATATAGAGAGGACAAATGTTATGTAATGCAAACTAGAACTCTTCCTACATTCAGAGAGGTTTCTCTTTTTTTTTTTTTTGGGGGGGGGGGGGGGAGGGGAAGGGTGACCAGTTTATACATTTTAAAGAATAATCTTCCAACGTAGACAACCCATTATGAAGAATGAAGTGCCATGAACCCAAAAAAGCAGTCAATACAATAATCATCAGTCTTTTTTGACAATTTTGGTCACACACTGTGTGACTAGTAATAGCAAATGGAAATTTAAACCTTATCTCATCAGCGGAAAAAATTTAACAATACAGCAGTGCTGTCAAGGGAAGTACTAAAATACAAAGCACAGTTTCAGAAATACCTTTTTAAGTCATGGATCAAAGAAGTGTAAAAATTAATGAATGCTCAGCTCTAACATGACCAACGATGCTATGAAGTGCCACACCAAATTAATTCTTCAATAAGAATGATAAAAGACACCTTTTACAAATATCTTAATGTTCCTTTTATGAATATAAGGAAGCTTTAGACAGGAATGTTTGCACAACTTTTAAAGCTTTCAATTTTAAGCATTCAACATTACATAAGCCTACATTTTGGAAAAAGGAGATTGACATCAGAACCCATTGATTTTTGTTCCGTAACTGTATTCAAGTCAAACATTCAATCTCCATTGACCGTTTCAAGTATGAACACAGCTCCGTTTAAAAAAAAAAAAAAAAAGGATAAAAAAAAAGTACATGAGTGACCTCTTCTGGTAAGGAAAAAAACCCCCCAAACACAAACAAAAAAAATCAATTTCAGAGAACATCTGATCATGAATCTCGGCACATTTAACTCAGAACAGGATACCATGAGGTTATTACAGGCAATTACACAAACAAATTGACAAATACACCTTAAACATTTTGCAAATATGTTTCTGATGCAAGGTAAATTAATAAGAAAAAATTCTAATTGGCTCTGCTGTTGACAAGAGAAGTGTAACAAGATGCAAAACAAATCTGTTCCTGTAATATCTAAGCTAGTAATTATTTTAATAGAATAAATTCCGTATTTTCAAATGTCTATATTTTTGTTATGTATGTAAATAAACATATAAATACAAGTAAATATAAATATATAGATTTTTATATACAGAAAGTCTTGGAATGGTAAGAAGTTTTTTATATACAGGAAGTCTTGGAATGGTAAGAAGTTCAACTACAGAGCATTTAGTTGCTAAATTTTTCAAAAAATTCTTTAAGCTACACAGTTTTGCATAAGTATCAGTGACTTTCATTCAGCATTTAAAATGAGCTCTATGATTACATTCCCTAGCGTACTGTACCTTTGCAGTAAGGAGCAGGGCTAGCAGAAGGGTTCCTATCACTAGCAAAAATATTATGAAAATGCTGATTATTTTATCTAGCATTTTCTCCAACCACACGATCATCTGTGCAGAAAAAAGAAAAAACAAATCATAGCATATAAATCAATCTTTAATGAAAGCAATGCTGTATGGTATATGACAGTATTGTTATCTTTATTTACAATCACAGTGCAAAATCAGGCTCTAATCAAACAGCATTTATGCCCAAGCTTGGAGATGAACAATTAAGAAGCAATGTTAGCATGATTACGGTCATGGTATGACATGTGATTTTGCAAACGACATTTACACATTACCACAAGACACAGCAAGCTCTCTGCAAAGCAAGCAATAATTCAACATTTACTTACTAGACCTAAAGAAGCTAGCATTCATGTCAGCTATGAGCCTAGAAATTTGTCTTTGTTTCTTGTCCTTCAGCAACTCGGAAACTTACAGATACTATCTGTGCAGGACTTGGAAGCTATCAAGGTATACTGTAAAGTACAACCATGACTTTCAATGAATAGCTAATGGCCATCTAAATGACAAATGAGGTATTTCTGCAAGTAACCAAATTTTTAAAGCTGCTCATCACCTTCTGAACTGAAATGGGGCTGGAGGTTTTCTACATTATTGAACATCAGGCCAATTATTCAGCACTGACTATATCTATCCACTTTCAATCTCGAAAGGATGCTCAGCATTAAACATGCATCAGCTAAACCTACTGATGAAGGAAACAGGTGTGTATGTTGTTCTGTCAGTTTATGGAAAGGCCCATTCTATACATGTCCACAAACAAATAGCGATACCACTTAAGATTAGAGAAATTCTGATAACGTCATTCAAAACAATAAACCTGCTCAGCCATGCGCCTACGCAAAGTACTCTAGAATAGTGCAAGCTGAGCTTCGTCTCATACACAAATTGACTGTTTACATAAAAAGCTGTGAAAGCCCATCCGAGTATGGCCAAATACATTTTTCTAGCTTCTATGGTTCAAATACCAAGGCTATTTCTACTCCATCTGGCATTACTGCAGGAAAAAGCAGCAGCAGCAGGACAGCTGTAAAATTTGTGCTTTAAGAGAACTGTGGTCAAAGCCAATGTGCAGTAGATGAAAGTATTTCCACGTGAGTACAAGTTATATATTCATCGATTAGGCTGGTAACTTTCTAGTTAGAGATCTTACAAAACTACTAATATGCTTGCTGATGGTTTACATTAGTTCTTTCTTCATTATTTACCCTATCCCTACACGTGAAATTGGCCCTGGAACAACTGACTTCTACAGACTGCTGTGTGATGATTGAATTGGTTAACGCTGAAGTTATATCTCCTATTTGAAAAAAAAGTAAGGATTTTTTTTTGTGCTCATCCTGTAGCATCTGAGCAGTTAATGTTCATAAAGCAATTATTTTTAAACTTCAGGTTCTTTTACAACCAGCTCCTTGTTTGATCTAAATTAACACAAGGATTATATTCAGCATTTTAGAACTGTTGTTCAAAATGATAAAGAAAACTGGAAGAAAGCAAAATCCTTTTAAAAGAAACAAGGTGGTGAGCCAGCAAGTTTTTGTAACAAAATCTGCACTACATTATGACCTGCAGAAAGGAATTCAGAGAACCTGAAGGAATCTGCAAAATCTTCTTAGATATTTTTAACATTTTTCAGCACTGCTGAAATATTTCAGCCACCAGAAATGCCTTGCTAGTGCTAGAGGGAGGTTACCTGCCTGCAGCAGTACTGAAGCTTTCTGAAAAACTCTGAGTAGCCTCTAAATGCAGCTGTTAGCCCTTTGGAAAGAAGACTGAAAACAGGATTTGCTGTGCCCTTCCAAGCCTCACATACATCTAAGGATTACGCAAGAGAAGCGAGAAATAAAAGTCCCTGTTCTAAAGGTCAGAAACCAAAAGTATCACTGAAAAACACTGGATGGCCAGGGGATGGAAATTTTATAGCATGGGCTTCAAAATGAAGCTATTAAAAACTAAAGCTGCCCTTGTTAGTTCTCAGCTAACAAAGTTCAAACTAATTGCTATTTACTTTCTAAATTAGAGATAAAAGAAATCCACTAGTCTTACATATAGCACCTTAATCAGACTCACTGAACCCAAGAAATTGGAGGTACTGTCAGAGACTTCCAAAAACGCTAGCCTCGGTGATTGTGTGAGTGGTGTCCAATAGACGAAATCTCATCCAGCTGAAACTGGATGCTTTAGATGTTTCACCATGGTAGCTACTACTGGAAGATCAAGCTCCAAAAGATCAGGATGAGGACTCTCTCTCTGAACTGGAACATGAAGAACAGGGGATCTTTTCTTGATACTCCTTACTGTGGGTTGGAGTATGCCTACACTGCCATTGAGGTGCAGCTGCAGCACATGTAAAGCCTGAATTACCTTTAATCTAGTTAGTAAAGTAATGGCAGCACTGACGTTGTACCAGTACAGGCAGCAGCCTTAGCCATGCGAGCCCACTTTGTGTTTATTTACTTGGGCAGGTAGCCCAAGCAAGTTAGATGAAAGCCAGCTCTGGTATGCCTACAGGTACTGCAACTACATCTCTCACCACAGTCTTAATGAGATCCAAGTTATACAACTGGTACAGGCGTATCACAGGAGAAGACTGAATTGGACTGAGTATTGCAGAAGTAAAAGCAGATGCACAACATTCATTTAGGGCTGTATTTACTCCTTCTCCTTTAATTTGCTTGCTATTAAACTTCCCTTCCTTCCTCTACATTTACCCACAACACTTAGGAAGCACTCACCTTTGCACACTCATGCTAAATAATGCATAGGTGCTATGTTACTGAAGGTAAGCTAGACTGTTAAATCCCTGTGTGCTTGTACTTACCACTGAAATCAGGTCCAGACTTCATTCTTACCACAACCCTGTCAGACCTCCCTTTACATCCTTCCTGTAAACCATGGGCATGCACACGAAGACAAACATATACTGACTAAACACTAGTCATTAGCCAGAGATCATGAAGTTTTAAATGCAGTTCCAAACTTCCAATCTAAAGGTTAGTCAACAGCAGGAAGCTGATGCTGCCACAACATCCAAAATTATGCAAAGGTAAAGGAAAGCCAGGCTTCTAAGCTACAGAAGGTCACACTTGTAAAACCAAACTGAAATGTTACTGATTTGTGATAGACTGTCCACAAAAAACTATCCTTAATTGTCACAGTTTTGAAGGAAAAGATACCAACTTTTAAATTTTTTCTTAAATTTAGCTCACTGTAAAAAATGTTTTTAAGATGAGTTGCATTCAGTTAAAATGCTTCTCAATAATCTGCAAGTACTTCCTGCTTTCAACTTTTGGGTGATGATACAAACCATATTACACTGAGCTGTAACAGAACTGCAGTTCATGCTTAATAATTGGGAATCCTACTATCTAGACAGGTTCTCCATGTTATGCAGTATGATACATCATCTATGAATTCATATTTTCACGTTTCACACTGCATAGCCATCAGAACACTAGTTTTTCTAGTATGTTGTATTTACTGCATTACCCACACAGGGAAGCATGCCTGGACATCTACTTCATTTTCAATTAAATCTACATAAAATTACCAAAAAGGACTATTTTTTTTTCTTTAAACAGCTTCACTATCTATCAGGATTTTTTCCAAGACATTTCTTAGACTTGTTGACACTTCCCTTTAGTTCAGTTAATATTTGAGGATAGCATCTTATAATATCATCTGATGAGAATAAGGGGAAGCCTGTCATCAGGACACATCTCATTATGTTGAGATGAGTCAGATGAGTAGTTAAGTTAGAAAAGATAGAGAACAGTCTCTATGAGGTCTCAAGTCTATTTACACACCAGTGTCCCTCCAACAGCAACAGCTGAATTTAGCAATTCTTTCTAAAGACTCCTATATTTTGGGCTACATATACCTCATTAAAATATGTGATTATATATTATTCTTGTTTGACAAAAAAAAAAAGTCTCAAGCAGCTCTTTGACAGAAGCTCTTAGACAGGAAGAAAAAAAAAAAATAAGGTTTATCACTAGCAGCCATAACCAACCATCATTTCAAACTCTGCCACGTCTAGGTGGTGTATTTTTAGTTTCTTGGTTAATTATCAGAAATTTATCTTTCTGATAATTTCTGAAGTTCTCACAAGTACTTCCCTTCAAAGACAGGCAAAAAGGAGAAAGGTGCAAAGGCAGCAACCTTTTAAATACATCCAGCGTTCTGTATTACAAATATCCTCCTTTCTTTGCCTCTGCTAGAGTATGATTTTTTTTTTTAATTATTATTATTATTAATACTCCTTTGTTTGCTTACGTGTTGGCAAAGTGGATAGAACAAAACAAACTCGCAAGAACCTGATAGTGTTTGCACAGTATTTGTTTTTGCCTTTTTTTTTTTAATCTTGATTATAATATTAGTACTACTCGCTCATGCACAGGAGTCAGCACTGCATGTAATACTATAGGACTTTCAGGATCTCTTCCTATGAAACGGTAAAGTAAAACAGTAGTTTTTAAAAACAGCTCCTAGGAACTAAAAAAACCCTCTGTTAAGAAACTATATCCACAGGGTCTTGCCCAATAATGCAAATCTCTAAACTAAAAATAAAATCCAGACATTTTAGAGTTCAAAGCAATTACAGTGAAATTATTTTTGCAGCTTATCAATATTAAGGAAAAAATTGATCTACATACATGAATTTTCAAACAAGCAAATGACAAACTCAGAGCCAGAAAAAAAAAGTAGTTGAGACTAAACTTTCACCTGTGGCTCACTAAGCTCAGCTCTTCACCTAAACCATGCTAACAAACAAATACCTAATCAAAAATTTTTTATGAAGGGTTATGGTTGCACATATTTACTAATTTTAAGTCATTCACATAACACAAACATTTCAAAGTCAGGAAATAAAAATGTAATTTTAAAAACAACCAAACGATATTCAAGGGCAAAAGAACATTCAAAAATTCACCTCTTTGTGGGCAATTATAACTGAATCATAAAACAAGCAATTCTACCCTCTTATTCAGAAACACAGAAAGTCCCCCATCATATAATCCTGAGTTCACCGATTAAATACT